TATACTGATTTTTTTCCTTTTTTTTGGTTGGTCATGGGGCTTGAACTCTGGGCCTGAGTGCTGTCCCTCAGCTCTTCAGCTCAAAGCTAGCGCTCTACCACTTCAGCTATAGCACCACTTCCAGTATTCTGATGGTTTATTGGAGATAAGAGTCTCATTGGCTTTGAACATTGATCCTCAGATCTCAGCCTCCTGAGTACCTAGGATTACAGGCTGGAGCTCCTCTGACAAGGCTCAGCCTAGCAGTGATACTGACAAGTGGTTTTAAAAAAATTTTTTTTATTATCTTTTTTATTTTTATAGGCACTAGTGCAACCAGCAGATTCAGTTATGGAGCTGAGCTCTATGATACCTCTATTAGATTATGGGGTCTGATAGTATAATTCTATCTTGAATGCTGCCCAAAGATCTATGTGTTGTAGACTTTGTTGTCAGTCTATGGTATTACTGGAGGTTAATTTTTTTTCCTGGTGTTAGGAATCAAACCCACATCTTGGCCTGCATAGTGTCTATTGGAAGGAAGGTTGTTGTGGGATCTTTTTTTTTTTTTTTTTTTTTGTCATGAGGCTTGAACTGGGCCTGGTCGCTGTCCCTCAGCTCTTCAGCTGAAGGCAAGCACTCTACCACTTGAGCCACAGCACCACTTCCAGTTTTCTGGTGGTTTATTGGAGATAAGAGTCTCACAGACTTTCCCGCCTGGGCTGGCTTTGACCCATCATCCTCAGATCTCAGCCTCCAGAGTAGCTAGGATTACAGGTGTGAGCCACCAGCACTCAGCAAAAAAAAATTCTTGTCACAATAAGATCACTGGAGACAGTGTTCTTGAAAAGGATAACGGGTTACCAGGAGTAGTTCCTTCCTCTCTCACTTCCCCTGATGTCAAGAGGTAAATAATTTTGTCTCACGCTAAGCTCCCACCATGAGGTATTGACTGACAGGCATAAAAGCAAACAGGCCAACAAGCCATGGGCTGATACTACTGAGAATGAGCCAGAATAAACCTTTCCTCCTTATACATTGATTATCTCAGGTATTTTGTTACAGTGTTAGAAAGCTGAGTAACAAGGGATTCCCAAGTGACAGAGGACAATGCTGCTTTTCCATAAGAAGTGAGCTGGGGTCTGGGCTTCCACATGTGGTTGTACTGTTGACATTTTGGGTGACCCTCATGAGGTGGTAACTTTTGGGTGCTGCTCATGGAGAGGTAATTACAACTGCTGCTCTGAAGTGACAAGGGTAGGTGGGGCATGGAAGGCAGGGATGGAAGAGTCAGAAATGTAGCAGCCCATCAAGGTATATAGTAGTTGGAGCTGGAGTTCAGCCTGTGTAACCTACGAGCTTCAGAGTGAACATTTAGACCATGCTGCTGTGGATGGAGGTGGGAGGCAGTTCTGTGGGCCTAGGTATGGTTTAAGAGGCAGCTGCTAATCAACCAACCATACTACAGCTACCTAGTAAACATGTGGAAGAGTTGTTGGTAGCGTGACTATCCAAACCCACAATCCACCTGCCGTGTGAGAATCCCATGGCCCATCCTTGGCTACAGTTTGTGGGTGTCTGTCTGGAGAAGACCACTCTCTGATGTGGAATCAACTGAGTGGCCAGTGATGGTCCCATTGGAGATACAAACATTCCAGACACCAAGGAATGGCCAGTAAAGATTTCTGTTGGTGCTCACCCTGGAAGACCATTTGGGCCAAGCTGATTCAGGCTGAGAAGGAAGCCATGGCCAAGAACAAGCTGTACTTGCAGTATAACCTGGTTTGTAGCCACAGTATGCAACAGTTTGCACCCTATGGAACACCAGGGTAAGAAGGAACTGGGCTATACCTTGCAGGTGGCCAAGGTCTCTCTAATACCTCCAGAGGCATTCTACCCTGTTTTCTGAATTTTGCAGCTCAAAGAAAGACTAGCGCTACCTCTAATCATGAACAGCAAGAAGTGTGAGTTGGATGAAGGAGAAAGGAAGACCAGGAGAAGGCAGCCAACAGGAAGAAAATGATCCGGAAGGGTAAAAGAAATGGGGCCAGCAAGGATCTATGGACCAGAGGAAAAGAGGCTTGCTCAGCCTAGGGAGGGGAGTAAAGGAGATTGGGGAGTTAACATGCATTCTAGGCCTCCAGGCTGGGACAGCAGTAGGAAAATACTACAGAGAAAGGAGGAAGTAAGTAATTCATTCACCTTTGGATCTATTCTGTAAAGTGAAGTCTGTACTTATACTAAATATCAAAGTACTAGGGTGCAGAAGAAAATATGTTAGGGGCTGGGAAGGTGGCTCAGTGGTAGAGTGCTTGCCTTGCATGCATGAGGACCTGGGTTCGATTCCTCAGCCCTACATAAGCAAAAAAGAAAAAAGCCGGAAGTGACGCTGTGGCTCAAGTGGTAGAGTGCTAGCCTTGAGCTGAAGAGCTGAGGGACAGTGCCCGGGCCCAGAGTTCAAGTCCCACAACCGGCAAAAAAAAAAGAAAGTATGTTAGCTGGGTGTTGGTGGCCTGTAATCCTAGCTACTCAGAAGGCAGAGATCTGAGGATTACGGTTCAAAGCCAGCCGGAGCATGAAACGCCATGAGACTCTAATCTTCAATAAAAACCACTTAGAGGGGCTGGGAAGGTGGCTCAGTGGTAGAGCGCTTGCCTTGCATGCTAGAGGCCCTCGGTACGATTCCTCAGCACCACATAACAAAAAAGAAAAATGCCGGAAGTGGCTCTGTGGCTCAAGTGGTAGAGTGCTGGCCTTGAGCTGAAGAGCTGAGGGACAGCGCCCAGGCCCAGAGTTCAAGCCCCACTACCAGACCCCCCCCCACAAAAAAAAACAAAAAACACTTAGAAAACCAGAAGTGGCACTGTATCTCAAATGGTTAAGTGCTCACCTTGAGCTAAAGAGCTGAGGGATAGCACCCAGGCCCAGAGTTCAAGCCCCACAACCCACAAAAATAAAAAAGAAAGAAAGAAAGTCAGGGTTGGTTTGTACAAATAATTTTCCCACAACTGAAATTCTGGCTGGAAATTAAGGGTGTATGAGAGAAGTAATGTGATCAAAACTAAAATTTTCTTTTTTAGTGTTGGGGTTTGAACTCAGGGCCTTGAGCTTTCTAGCTAGGTAAGCACTCTTACCACTGAGCCACACCACCAACCTGAAATTGGAAATTCCTTTTTTTTTTTTTTTTTGGGTCCGGTCTTGGGGCCTGAACTCTGGGCCTGGGCGTTGTCCCTCAGCTCTTCAGCTCAAGGCTAGCGCTCTACCACTTGAGCCACAGTGCCACTTCCGGCTTTTTTTTTTCCGGCTTATGTGGTGCTGAGGAATCGAACCCAGGGCCTCAGGCATGCAAGGCAAGCGCTCTAGCACTGAGCCACCTTCCCAGCCCTGGAAATTCCTTGACAGTCATCTTTTTTCACTTTCACTTTTGTTGAGAATTGGTCATATTTTAGAAATGTACAGTGGACCAATTTACACATTTCTGCATTATTTTGTGTGTGTGCCAGTAATGGGGCTTAAAACTCAAATCACTTTTTCACTCAAGGCTGAGCTCCACTTCTGGCTTCATGGAGCTTGAACTCTGGGCCTAAGGGCTGTCCTTGAACTTTTTTTTTTTTTTTGGTCCAGTCGTGGGGCCTGAACTCTGGGCCTGGACGCTGTCCCTCAGCTCTTCAGTTCAAGGCTAGCACTCTACCACATGAGCCACAGCACCACTTCTGGCTTCTTTTTGCTTATGTGGTGCTGAGGAATTGAACCCAGGGCCTCAGGCATGCAAGGCAAGCGCTCTACCACTGAGCCACCTTCCCAGCCCTGTCCTTGAGCTTTTGCACTCAAAGCTAGCATTCTTATCAGTTTGAGCCACAGTACAACTTCCCGTCTTCTGGTTCTTAACTGGAGCCAAGTCTCACAGACTTCCCTGTTCTAGCTGGCTTTAAACCTCAATCTCTCAGCTTCCTGAGTAGCTAGGATCACAGGTGTGGGTCATCAGTGTCCAGTTCCCCTAGTGCTTCTTCTTTCCTTTCCTCCCCTTGTGCTTCTTCTTCCTTTTCCTTCCCTCCCTCCTTCCTTCCTTTCTTCTGTTGGTTATGGGGCTTGAACTGTAGGCCTGGGCGCTGTCCCTCAGCTCTTCATCTCAAGGTGAGTGCTCTACCTGTTGAGCCACAGTACCACTTCTGGTTTTTCTGGTGGCTTATTGGGAGATAGGAATCTCCTGGACTTTCCTGCCTGGGCTGGCTTTGAACCGCAATCCTCAGATCTCAGCCTCCTGAGCAGCTAGGATCACAGGCGTGAGTCACTGGCACTTGGCCCCTTGTGCTTCCTAACTACTGCAACGAAATAACTATCATCTTGTGTATTCACACATCCCTCCACCGGAGTTTCCTCTCATTTCTTGAGTGAGATGAGCAATACTTTGCCTACCTTACTTGGACTACCTGTGAGGTTCGGTAGTGTTTACACCTATGCTGGCACAAATCATAGACAATTACTAAGAGGAAAAAAAAGAGGCCTGAATTACAGGACAAAGAGGAGGCTGCCAAAACAGTCCGTAATTAAACACCGACAGCACTTGAGACAGAAGGCGAAGGAAAGCTTTTCGTCCACCTTCCCAGGGGCTTCGCGGTTGTCCGGCTTGAACTCAGGGCCTGGGTGCTGTCACTTATCCTCTGCCCAAGCCCAGGGCTCTGTCATTTTGAGCCCCGGAGCCACTTCCGGTTTTTGAGTGGTTTATTGGAGAGTCTCAGGGACTTTCCTGCCCCGGCTGGCTTCGAACTGCGAGCCTCACCTCTCAGCCTCCTGAGCAGCTAGGATTAGGGGCGTGAGCCCGGGGACTCTACCTTCCCGCAGGGCTCCCGAGCTCACCTCGAGGGGAAGCCGCGGACGCCCGGCCCTCCCACGCCCACCCAGCGAGCGGGCGGGTCTTCCTAGGTGGCAGCTCTGTCACGTGTCTTCCGACGGCGCGCGCGCTCGTGCGTGGCGCATGCGCAGGGGGCGGCCCCTGCTATTTTTCTCCGTGGCGGGCGGCGGCGGCGGCGACGAGCGGAAGTTCTTGGGAGCGCCAGTTCCGTCTGTGTGTTGGAGTGGACAAAATGGCGAAGATCGCCAAGACTCACGAAGGTAAGCGGTCGTTGCCTCGTTGCGAGTCTCTCTTTCCCGGCGCTCGGCTCTCGGCCCTGCCGGCCTGTGTGTCCGCCTCTTCCTGTAGGGGCTTGGGTCGCGGCCTCGCCCGCGCTCCGAGCCCGCGGCGTCCGCTCGGCGGCGGCGGCGCAGGCCCCGGCCCCGCGTAATGGCGTCCTGCTCGAACCTCCCTGGCAGGCGCTTTGTTCCGTGTCGGGGTGCCGCCGCTCGGGGCTGGCTGCTGAGTTTTCCGGCCCGAGGGCCTCGTTGGAGGCTCGGCCTGCGGAGGCTCGGGGCGGCCCGCGGGGGGGGGGGGGGACGGGCGTGGGAGGAAAGCCGCCCTCGGCCCCCGGCTCGGCCTGGGCTACAGCTGTGCCCCGGAGCACGGCAGCCGCCTTTCGGGGTGTGCGGAATCGAGGTGGCTCACCCCTAGGCCCGTTAGGTTTAACCCGGGCAACCTGAATGGCCTGGTTACGGGACGATTGTGGTACGAAATGAGGCGGGCGTCCCTTGCCACTTCCCGAATCGTGTTTGTGTTTCTCCGTGGGGGCTGATTGTTGGAAGAACCGGCGGAAAGGCACCTTCTCCTTCGATCAGTGACCGTCCTTCTCAAGATAGTTTGATCGTTTTGTGGTATACAGGCTCTACAAAATTTTAGAATGTAGGGAATAGACCGGAATCTCTGAGGAGTATCCAGAGAAGACAGGAAAGCAGGAGCGTGGGATGTGAGGACATTTCGTGATTTCTGACTTACAAGGCGAAAGTTAGAACTCAAGGCTTCCAAAAGTGTCACCTCCTTCACACGTCCTTTCTAGGTGTGTGGGTCGGTATTGACGAATCTGAGGGAACTAACAGACTAAGGCTATCAAAATTATACAGTCTTAATGGCGAAATAGATGTGTATATATCTTAATTTTCTTGCAAGGTCAAATGAATGCTTGAATAGAAGTAAAAGCAACATATTTCAGGAAGCAGAATAACGGAGTGATTAATACATGCCTAGTTATGTCAGAGAGGAGATGACGTGTCTCTGGTCTAAAAACATCAATCGGTTCTAAATTAAGGGAGTGTATTCGAGCCGGAAAGAACATCTCATAAGGCAAAAAGGTGTACTTAAGTTGTCTCCTGTGGCAGAAGAGAGTGCAAAGAGGGAATCAGTAAATGAATTGGAAAGGATTGCTTTGGATTAGAAGGCTTTTATTAGTTGGACTATCCAGAAGGACAGTTTTGGAATAATTAGAACATTTAAAGATGTTGCTGTTTTTGTTGAGGTGTTGATGGGTTTTGTCACTTTGATTATTTGTTTATTGGTCTCTTCAATGAAACAACCACCAGGAAAATCTAAAAGATCTGACATGAATTATAGAAAACTACTAATTGTAGTTCATTGGCAAAAATTGCCATTTTATTTGTGATTATTCCTCAGTGTGAGTTAAAATTGGTACTGTGAAGATTGGAACTTTTATCCCCCCCCCCCGGGTTGTGGGGCCTGAACTCTGGGCCTAGGCCCTGTTCCTCACCTCGTCAGCTCAAGGCTATCGCTCTCTACCATTTGAGCCATTGCACCACTAATGGCTTTTTTCTTCTTATATGGTGCTAAGGAATCAAACCTGGTGCTGAGGAATCAAACCCAGCACCTTGTGCACGCAAGGCAAGCACTCTACCACTGAGCCACCTTCCCAGCCCCTGGAAAGTTGGGTTTTGACATTTTGTTGTCTCAAGATGATGAGCCAAGTACTTGCTCTGATTCTTTAATATCCCCTGTATCTGTACCGTAATCGGTACTCAAATATTTGATATTTGACAGATCGATATAAACTGGTTATATCTTAAAAGATACACAAAAAAGCTGGGCGCTGGTGGCTCACGCCTGTAATCCTAGCTACTCAGGAGGCTGAGATCTGAGGATCTAGGTTCAAAGCCAGCCCGGGCAGGAGAGACCGTGAGACTCCTAGCTCCAATAAACCACCAGAAAACCGGAAGTGGCGCTGTAGCTCAAGTGGTAGAGCCTCGCCTTGAGCTGAAGAGCTGAGGGACAGCGCCCAGGCTCAGAGTTCAAGCCCCACGACCGACAAAAAAAAAAAAATACACAAAAAAAGAGAACTTGCCTGTGGTGAATCACTCCGAGTCCCATGGATGCTACACAAGTTCAGGGTTCACCACCAAATTAGCTACATCCTCACCTGGAAAGAGTGTTCATTTCACCATATTATACCAAAATTGGAACAACACCAAAATTAGGATAGCCCCTGTGCAAGAATGACACCCAAGTTTGTAAAGCATTCTCTAGTTTTATTTATTTTTGTTGATCATAGGGCTTGAACTCTGGGCCTGGGCGCTGCCCTCACCTCTTCAGCTCAAGGCTAGCGCTCACTTCTAGTTTTCTGAGTGGTTTATTGGAGATTAGAGTCTTACGGAAATTCCTGCCTGGGCTGGCTTTGAACTGCAATCTTCACATCTCCACCTCCTGAGAAGCTAGTATTACAGGCCTGAGCCACTGGTGCCTGGCTGCATTCCCTAGTTTTAAACTGCATTCCAGTTGGGTGCTGTCTGTTCTTAACTGTTGTTCAAATGGTTACTGTGACTGAAAAACTTGAAATAGAAGGACCACTATGTATAGAGACAGCCTGGGATGTTGCCCACTTGAACAGTAGCTATGAGTGAAATAAACAAATGGATTATTCAGAACTGAAGTTACTTTTTTTTTTTTTTTGCCAATCCTGGGGCTTGAACTGAGGGCCTGGGCATTGTCCCTGAGCCTCTCTCTGCTCAAGGCTAAAACTACCACTTGAGCCACATTCCCAGCCCTGAAGTTACAGTCTTAATTTTGAATTTAGCTAGCTCAAAAGATAGACTTTTCATTTGTCAAGTCAGTCCTTTGAATTGCAGCCCCTTCCCCCCCTTTTCTTTTGTGCAGGTTCCCAGGCTTGAAAGAGGGCTGGCTGTTCCTTAGCTTTTTCCACTTAAGGGTGCTGCATTTCAGGTTTTTTGGTGGTTAATTGGAGATACTCAGATTTTCCTGCCAGCTGGCTTGGAACTGTAATCCGAAGATTTTAGCTTCCTGAGTAGCTAGGATTATAGGTGAGAGCCACTGGCGCCCAGGTCTTGAGTTGAAGCTCCAGAACTTTTTTTTTTTTTTTTTTTGTGATGCCAGTCTTGGGGCTTGAACTCCAGAGCCTGGGCACGTCCTTGAACTTTTTTTGCTTACCACCTGAACCACAGCTCCACTTCAGCATTTTTGGCAGATAGAATCTCATGGACTTTTCTTCCCCAGGCTGACTTTGAACCATAATCCTTAGATTTTAGCCTTCTGAGTAGCTAGGATTATAGACATGAGCCACTAATGCCCAGCTTCTAGAACTGGTATTGGGGATTGAATCCAGGGCTTCCATTATGCTAGATAAGTGCTCTAACATTTAAGCTATACCCCCAACCCTTTGATATTTTGTGTTTGCAGATAAGGGTTTATTAACTTTGTTGCATGTTTTGTAAATCCCAGTCTAGCCTGGTAGCTGAAATTACTGGTATGAACTACCATGCTTAGCTTTAGACTGTGGGTCTGTGTGTTTTGGTTGGGATTGGACAGAGTAGGCAGGTACCTTCTCCCTTCCAGTCCAGCCTAGGTTTGTTCTATGGATCTGTTTTAATTTATAGGCACTGGCGGTGCTGTGGACACATGAGGATGGAAGGCCACACACTTACTTGGCTGCCAGGGGGGTGGGAGGCTAGCAGGCAGCCCCTCCAGGGGAAGAAGTAGAGGTTACAGGGTGAGTGCATTTCAGCCCCCACCTTGGTGTGGCAGGTACTCTGTGCAGCACAGCCTTGGGTAGCAAATTTAGAATTGATGATTCTAGCCTGGACTGGGACAACTCAAAATTTGAAGGATTATTCATAACTTTGTTTTGTTTTGTTTTTTTGTTGGTTGTGGGTCTTGAACTCTGGGCCTGGGCACTGTCCCTCAGCTCTTAAGCTCAAGCCACAGAGCCACTTCTGGTTTTTTGGTGGTTTATTGGAGATAAGAGTCTCTCGGACTTTCCTGCCCGGGCTGGCTTTGAACTGTGATCCTCAGATCTCAGCTTCCTGAGTAGCTAGGATTACAGATGTGAGCCACCAGTGCCTTTTTTGTGTGTGTGTGTGGGGGGGGGTCCAGTCGTGGGGCCTGAACTCTGGGCCTGGGCGCTGTCCCTCAGCTCTTCAGCTCAAGGCTAGTGTTCTACCACTTGAGCCACAGCGCCACTTCCGGCTTTTTTTCTTTTTGCTTATGTGGTGCTGAGGAATCAAACCCAGGGCCTCATGCATG